TTCAGCCTTGGTGAGCATAAGAGACTTCTTTCAAAAACATAAAAATATAGTACCGACCCCAAACTTTTGAATAGTAGTGTAAATATGCAATCAACTACACCACAATAATCATTTAGTAGTTGTTACTGAAAATAATGTCTCTCATTGTGAAGACAACACAAATTAAATTAGTCTCGTTTAGTTGATCCAAATGGCCTCAAGCAAATCTCTCGAATATATTCCAAAAATTCTCAGCTATGAACTTTAGCAAAACCAGCCAGGACTTGTTCTCCATCTGTCAAAAGATTTGAGTGGATTTAGTCCATGGCTCCGAATCATAAATGTGCCAGAGATGCCGGAATGATAGTAGTTAGAATTGTTTTATGGCACATTTTATTGTTCACAAGTACTAAGCTATGTTGTTGTGAAATTGAAATAAAACTAGTGAAAATTTCAGCTAGAATGTACAAAATATACATAAATGAAACAACCCTGCTCCTTATTCGCTGGAGCCATGCTGAGAGCATCGGATCAGCGCCTCTGAATAGCAGTGGTTTCATTCATTCAAGGGTGCATATTGCAGAATTAAACAAACATTTCACATCTGACAGATTCAGTCCTGCTAGCTTTATGGAGCTGCCTAATGTAGCCAGAAGTAGTGGCATCTCCAGACTTTTCAGTAGCGCTCTGTTGCGAAGTACAGAGAAAATCGGCTGTTAAACAATCAGCCAAGACTTCCAGCAGGGAATTAGTGAGAGCATGGCGTTTGTTAAATATTTACCAGAGACTTTGTTTTCCCCACTTCCATTTGTGCTCTGTAGTGTGCGCTTTCTATGTACAGCCCAGTCAGCGCACGTCAGGCTTGTTCTCTTTCTCTCAGTTCAGCTCAGTTGTCTAATTTGAGCAGGAACACTCCAGGGAAGTTGCCCTCATTGGTTGCCACCTGGGCTTATTGGCTCCGTCTATAGATTTTCGACTACCTGAGTGACTTCCCTGATCTTCACAGAACCAGCAGAATATCAATGGAACCCACTCTGCCATCTTTACACTCTCAAGATGCCTAAAGTCGAGTTTTTTCTCCTACAAGAAGGAGAGTTTGTACTTTTAAAGACATCTCGCCAAGGATGCAAACTGACAAACGATGGAAGGTTTTCTTGCTGAAGCCTCAGTTTGCTCAGAAGGAATAATGATGCTTTGTGTCCAGTGGCGGATCTAGAGTTTTATACATGGGGTGGCCAAGGCTAGACCATGGAAGAAAACCAGTGTATAACTCCAAACTGGCATAAAAAAAGCATGAATAAATCCTATGATTGCTGATTAATTCACATTCAACATACCGTGACTTCAAATGTTAGTCTATTGAAATAAGACTATTGGTTAGTCTTATTTCTATCATCTCATTAACCAGTGGTTTGAAGCAAACAATCTAACATTAACTTGTAGGCTACAGTGAATTTTGTTAATGTTGCTCAAGAAAACTAAAACTTCAACTTACTTAAAACAGGGCTGCCAACTTTTGAGTTCAGCCTGGAGTGAGAATTATTCAGGAATAATTAACAAGCTTGCGATTAAGTGTTATTTTTTCTCAATTTTTCTAAACTAAAGTATACAGGGAAAAAAGTAATTGATTTGTGTACAAGTTTATATTAGACAGTTTTTTTATAATAACCTTACATCTATACATTTTATTAATTATAATTAAAAGAGCAATTATGAGTAAATATATAGCTAATAAATGTAATTTGTTGCTAAATTCTCCTCTTTAGTGTGCATTTTTCTCACTAGTTTATGGACACAGAATGGATTTTCTGCTGTTATGTGACAATGTATTCTAGCTGCGGTCTTTCTGCGGTTGAAACGTTAATTGGATGATTACATGAGACTATACATTCAATAAGTTGTATTGTATCTTTCAACATGGATCGGATGTTCATTCAATGTTTATTTCATGCTAATTAGAATGCACTCCTCCTCCTTCGCTTTAACTTATGGGAGCATGCATGAACTATCACGCCACTAAAGAGCTCCAAAATTGAATTTATCGTTTGAAATCCTTTATAAGCTAACAGAATTTGAATGCTGAGACTTTGTTTCCTATTATCAAAAGTGACCTGCTCTGTCTTGTCTGTCAACTCGTTGTCTGTGTCCTCTCTGCTCTGCGATGTTTTTCACTCTGTAAGAAAATGAACGTGTGGCGCGAGTGTGCGTATGTGAGAGGCTGGAAATAGACGAGAAGAAGCGCGATGCACACTGATGATAGCATGATAAAAGTAATCCACAGGACTCATGTACTACATACTATCTATCATTCCAAAGCTTTTTTTGTTGTTGAAAGAAATTCATTAGACCATTTCACAGTGTGCTTTCAGAGTTCCTCTGAAACCCTCCACCTTCCCCAGCTCCACTTGTATAGATCTACTACAGGTTATTTTATATGCTATTTGTGCAACAGCAGTATGTCTTAAATACTCACAGCATGGACACTAAAAGACTGGAGTAATGGCTGCTGAATATTCAGCTTTGCCATCACAGGAATAAATTACATTTTGAAATATATTAAAATTGAAAACAGGTATTTTAAATAGTAATATTTTTTTCACAAAATTGCTGTTTTACCATATTTTTTATCAAATACATTTTTTAACTGGGACAAGACCCTCCCTCATGAACGTACCAAAGAAACCTAGTCAAGATTTTTGTCACACAGTGCTACCATATGAAGACTTAGACAATGACTCGTGTGAACCACTTTTATGATCATTTTATCGTGTTTCTTTGTTATTTGTGGAGCATTGAGCACCAGTCTTCATTCACTTTCATTATATTGAAAAGAATGCTTAGCATATTATTCAGTTTCATCAAAATCCATCTTTTGTGTTCCACTGAAGAAAGAGAGAAACTCATACAGGTTTGAAAGAACATGAGGGTGAACAATTCATGACAGAACTGTCATTTTTGGGTGAGCCGATCCTTGGAAATAGTATAAAGAGGGGAAGCAGCCAAACAGATGACTGAAAGACACTGCTGATAAACTTCTCTTTTTTCTTTCCCCCAGTGGTAAAATTGTTGTAGATGACAAAAGTAAAGCACCAGACATGGAGGTAAAGAAAAACCCGGCGGAGGTGAAGACAGTCCCTAATGAAGCCCCCCAGATGAACGGCAACGAGAGCAAAGCATGATCCGGAATGGGCAGCGTACAACAGTCGCAGACAGACAGCACCACACCACAACCACATCTCAAATACAAGGGTTTCTTTCTTCAGTGTCTTTAAGTTCGCAGAACAAAACACGTCTGTAGATATATAGAGCGCCTAAAGAGCTCGTGCATATGCCTTTTATTTTGTACTTTTCGATTGTTTTTACCATTGAAACATTTCTTTTTTTTCATCAGTGCAAGAAGGAAAGATTCTTCACCTCTAGCACAGTCTCCTTGACCTCTGTAAGTAAGATCAGTGTCTTTCAAATAGGCTTTTGAGGAAGTTCATTATGAGAAAAACAGTAATCACCTTTTCGCCTTTCATTCATTCAGCCCACAGTGCTGTTTCAATTATGTCCCGTTTTATTACATGCAGTATTGCCATTGTTATTGTCTGTCACATTCATTTTTTGGGGAACATTTTTTATGTTTTATTTGTGTTTAAATAATGTACAAAAGCAACCGCCTTTTATTTTATTTTTATTTTTTTCACATTCTTTTTTTGAGAGTTAGCGATAGATTTTTAGCATGCTTGCTTTGCAGAATTATTTTTCTATATGTCCTTTTTTTGTTTTATCCCAGCCCTGAGTGTTTACAGCATTTTGCTCCGATATCCCTCATTAACATAACGTTTGCTTCTCTAGCAAACCCGACTCAAACAGTTACGCAGGGTAGAGGTCTGAACTAGCTGTTAGGGTTATACTGTGCAAATCACCACTACTACTTTTTCCTTTTTTATATTACAACGCATCCCATTTCTCCTAAGCCTTAGAGTTTCTTCTTTACTTTAGGTGATACTTGCTTAAAAACATCCAGCAAGTTCTTTGAAAAAAAACATTAGGAACAACCAGGAGCTCTCCTTGAGAAAAATACAGTACAAGCGTTGCTGCTGCGTTACGTGCAGATACAGCTGTTGCACTTGTGGCCTAACGAAAACATCAGGCGCATCTCGCAGGATGTCCCATATGACGTCTGCCTGTTCCTCCATTGGCTTTTGCCCATTTAATTGATAAATGTTGCATTAAAATGAAGCCGTGACCCTTTGATACTAATAAAAATTCAAATGCTTGTCAGGTTTTTTTTTGTCTTAAATGGCCAAATTATTGTTTTACTTTTTATTTAAGCCATAGTACTCCGGTGTGGATCGTAGCATAAAAATATTGAGCCTGACTTTTTTTGTACAGTGTTTCTCATTCTTTAGGCTGCAAGCTTGTGCACTGTGAATGCGTGAAAACCCTAGTGTGAATACAGTGTGTTCTTTGTACTAGAATAAAACAAGCAAACAATAAAGTTTCCATAGGTTGTGAAAGCCGTAGCTGTTAGTTTAAATGATGTTCATCATGATAAGAATTTAAAAAAAATAAAAAAATTTAAAAAACGATGACGGCAGCAGAAGTGAAATGCGGACACAAAAGGAGTTGGTGCCTTCAATATAAACATCCTCTTGTATGCAGGCCTGCAGTCTGGATGGGCCACAGTGACGCTATTGTCTCTGTGACAACATACCCCAACGCTGTCAGATGGTCCAGATCTGTAAACTGTGAAAATAATAGTTTTGTTTCTTGATCAAATGTGTCGTCACTTGGTCTTTTGGGTCTGAGGGTGTAAATGGATTGTGGTTTTCTTAAATCTCGAAATCTCGACAACATGCCTCTATTTAATTGATGCAAAATCAGACCTATACCTATATAAATATATTCACACAGAAAACTGTCTCAATGCATTTTGTCTCATAGGCGCCCGAGGGTTGTCTGCTCACCCACCATTTAATTACAAAATCTCTTATTCATCCCATTTGGTCAAATGTCTCGTCAGTGACATCTATTTTTAAACCTGAAATAAGCATGCAATGTATTCTGAACTATAGATGTCATTGGTGTTAAGGTTACGAATTGAATTGCTAAATAACTGAAAATGTCAAAGACCTGTGCATTTATTTGAATGTCAGTGAACTTTTGTCATTCATACGTTCACTGTTGTCTGCTTTTACAAGACAAACATGGGAGCTGAATGATAACGTGTTTTAATAACTTTCATTATTAGGTCTTTAAACATTATGCTACTTGAATGTACGTTTGTGTTCTGTTAAGCATTTGTAATGTAATAATATTAATAATGAAAGTTATTTTTGAAGTGTTTCCAGCAGGATTCTGGTCTAATAAGCATCTGAGAGGCTTGTAGAAACTGTACCAGGAGGCATACGAGCTCTTTCTTATGATCTCTCTGAAAAACAAGCTTTTGATTCATACTGCCATTTAATGTGGGACCAATTTGTTTGTAAGTTTACACACAGTTTACCACCGCAACTGTGCCATCGTGCCACTTTAAAGACAAAGGTCTGTTCAAACGATTGTTTCCAAAGCATTTAAGGCTCATCATCTGAGCAGATTAAGCCTGTTTGATGTGTATTGGCTTCTCTCATCATTTCATTCTCATCTCAGACCTTTATAAGACATTCGTCACTTCATACCATACTGAGAGGCCCTTCTCACAGCTGTATACAGATTTTTACAAATCAAATGTCATCCCCATCCCCCGACTGCCACTGCTGTAAATACTAACCGACAACAAAATCTGACTTCATTCTGTCAAACAATTATTGTGTTCAATAAAATGAGAAAAAATATTTTATGTCTCCACTGTATCCTTTCACATGCACATCTGTTCTGGTGCAGTTGGTCGTTGAAACTTCAAGACATATCGAGACACTATCATGTTTTCACATAAGCTTGTTTTTCATAAAACTATTTCATTAGAACTTGCGACTTGGCAGAAAAGGCACTTATAATTTGAAATTTATATGAACACTTTAGTCATGCATCAGTATTATTTTAGTATTTATATGATTGTAGTTTTTGTAAGTATGTGCTTGCGTAATTTTTTCAAATTTCTAGTTATGTCAGTGCTTCAGAAAACTTCAAAAACCCTAGAACCTTAAGCTGTTTATTGTTGGGTTTCATTGTGATTGCTTATCCCAAATAGTGTGACTTTACTGGGGCATGTTGTCACAAAGTACAACATGTGTTTAATGAACTGTATCTTTGTCCTGGGCAACAGTGGAAATGTTCATTAGTTTATTTATATATATAAATTAGACCATCTGTGCTTGGTCTTGGGATAGACCGAAATATTACTGATGTAGTATTCAGGTATGACATAAAAATAAGCTTAAAATAAGTTATGAATATTTTAGATGTTACAATTTTTTTTTCCTAGAATGAAAACACAAGCATGAGACAAGAGCGTGCTGCGGGTGCGCACCATCACCACCAGATGGCGCACAAGAACACATTGCACCTTGCATAGAGCTTTGCTACTTTTGGAGACGCTATGAATTGATTCTTGACGTGATGATAACTGTAATTCAACTGTGAATAAACGGCTGTCAAAGTAACTCATGATTTACAGTGTGCATTTCGAAAAAAAACAAATGAAATGTGCCGTGTTTCTCAGTCATGACGGTGATAGAACAAAGATGTATTTCGAGTTTATGATTTTCTGATCTGGTGACTAAATCACAATTTTATTTCGTGAGGTACAATAATTTTAAAATGCTGTCAAATGAATTAATTCCCGTCAAAAGTGTCTCATCTGTTGAAAATGTCCGATTTGAACAGCTGCACTTGCACGTTGTCCTCCACTGGGTGGCAGTAAAGCACCGCTCTAAATGACTCACAACAGGCCATGTAATTAAAAACATACAAAGGCAGTGTTTTGATACATATATTTGTTTTTGTTTTGTTTTTTACCATATGGGTATTTTTACTATTTTGGAACGACAGATCTGTTTCACTTTGTAGCCAGAGAAAATGTGACAGTAGAAAGAAAGGCACTGGATGTAACAGCAGTTTCCTCTGTAGATAATCCATTCCAGAAATCTCCTTCCAGGTGCTTCCAATTCAAAATGGCTTTGATTAGTGGCCTGTTTATGTAACAGAGAAAGTTACAGACCCAAGAGTCCAAGATTCAAAAGAGTTTGTCACAAACTTTTAGCATTTATTATGCTGTACTTCACTATATTAAACATATCAGTCTTTAAATGTCATTAACAATTTTCACTACTTGGTTTCTCATTTCTAGTACACTAAGTAGGCCTACTCCAGTGTTGTTGTTTTTTTAGTTTAGCACATGGGCTCACAGATCGAGCTCCTCTGTGACTCATGAGCTTCTGAGTTCCTGAGGGCCTGGTCATCATGGACAAAAGAGCTGGAGAAGATGTTGGAAATACTGTATAGCCTACTACAGGTTTGAGCAACATCACAAATGGGTCCTTCTCAAAATATGGTGACATATTTTGTCCCCATATTTTCAGTGATTTGAAATAGCCTATTCAGAAACCCAATATAAAGAAACCCCATCATTATATAACTTTTTATTTTATTATACCTTTACATTTGATTAAATAGGCTAATATGGTATAGTTTGACTCTATACTGTATATTGTAATACATTTTTAATTATGAGAATTTGCTGCTTTTTTTTAAGTGTAATTTGTTGATTTTAGTCTATGTTTTTAATCTATGTTTTATGTTTTAAAATGTTCCTGGAACATTTTGAGAATTTGTTCATAAATGACCATTATTTCTCATACACTAAATATAACCCAGCATTTTTTAGAGTGTATGATTAAAGTAAAATAAAATAGAAAGTCCAGTTATACTGATTAATAATTCAATTTAAAACGTTTTGTTATTCTGTCAGTCTAAAAGTCCATATATTTTGAAAATGACCCACATCTGAATCGGTTTGATTTTATTCATCTCATGAAGCCAGGTTAATTACCATTAATGGTAACACTTTATTTTAGGGTCTCTTAACTAGTTGCTTATTAGCATGCATATTACTAAAATATTAGCCATTTATTAGTACTAATTAAGCACATATTAATGCCTTATTTTACATGACCTTATTCTACATCCCTAATCCTACCCAATACCTAAACTTAACAACTACCTTACTATTAATAAGTAGCAAATTAGGAATTTATTTAGGGAAAATTCGTAGTTAATAGTGAATAAGTGTTCCCTATTCTAAAGTTTTACACCATTAACTTATGTAAATGATCCTGGCAGGTTCCACTGAATGTTGTATTATGGAAACAGACTCCACAGGGAGCAGAGACCCCATCATCAGGTACTGATCTGTGTGTCTGAAACCTGCATAAGTTGTCACTACCTAAATCACCATCGCAATAATAACCATTGAGTATTTTATCAGAGTATTTTATCTGATCTTATCTGAGACCCGGTCAGGGGACAGAGGAGGCAGATGAACATTTCTTAGAGTTGATAGATTCTCTCCAATTTTGTACATATTCATTGTAAATCAAAGCAAGCTAAACATAGTTATAGGAACACCCCATTCTGGAAGAACTTGCTTTGCATTGTTTAAAGGAGCAATGTGAGACAGGCTTATGTTACAGCAGCTCTTCAGGTCCTGGGTCACCTCTGGGTCATGGAATTACTGAAACCTTTGCATGAACCATCAAGTTTGAAGAAATAGTTTTCAATTAGAAAGATTTCATCCGATATTCACACATATTAAACATCTAGTAGTGTAGGCACATCCGCGGGTCTAGCGGTACAACTTGTGCTAGTGGGTTCTCCACCCTCGTATAGTTTTTCCTCATTAAAACCAAATGTGTTCATCAGTGATTGTATGTCAAGAGCATGTTTGTGTGCATTTATATGTGATTTCGAATAGAGTGCCTCCACAATAGCCTATTAGCAACAGATTGAAGCGCTCGTCTGTGCACTGATAACAGCAACAACGAGCACTCGGCATGATTTTAAAAGCAACACATTTCAGCGCCAGATCGCCTCTTATTTAACACAAACGAACGAAATTAGTAGCCTACTCTACTAGTCAGCTAGAGATGTTTCATTTGTAATATATATATCTGTACTGCGAGATATACATTTGACATCAAGCTTGCATTAACAGGGGAATATCCAAGCTGTCCGCTCACACGGCAGGCGCAAATAGGCTACACCAGGGCTGTCCAAACTCGGTCCTGGAGGGCCGGTGTCCTGCAGAGTTTAGCTCCAACCCTAATTAAACACACCTGAACCAGCTAATCAAGCTCTTACTAGGCATAGAAACTTCCAGTCAGGTGTGTTGAGGCAAGTTGGAGCTAAACTCTGCAGGACAGGACCGAGTTTGGACAGCCCTGGGCTATACGTATCAGATTTATTTCCACATGTGAATGAGGCCTGAGACCGACCCGAGAATATCGGAATCCATGTGCTTTTTTCCTGCTTATAGCCTATACGTTCGTGGGCCATTTCCGATCTGTGAAGAAAAAATAGAATTGGGTCACTTGAACCATGCAGTGTAAATGCAGCCTTTGATTTGCAAATTGATTTGACAAATTATA